CCTCCAAACTTGCTTCGGTAGACTTTTGTCCTCTGCGTGCAGGCTGGCAAAACGAGACGGTGCCGGAGGAAACCAGAGACTTTTGAATGCCAGCTGCATCCATTCGAAGCGCACGATCATCGCTCTCAGCAGCACCGTTCAGAGGAAGAATCATTGTTGCTGGTGGACGGGGTGGCGTAGGTGCAGTCAACACTGTAGAGATGTTCACTCTGCCAGACACAACATGCCCGCTGGGCCAATGGACAGAGATTGCCGCAATGGAACAGCCCTGCGCATGGTTCACTATTCTGACCTCCACCGATTCGATCTTGGCTTTTGGTAGGATGCGATCCTTAACTGTATAGTTTCGTTCCATAATATGTACTGTGAAGTGTGTACTTTAATAGTTTATGTCGATGCTTTTCATAACTCCAAGTTCGAATAAGTACCCATGAGAAGAAGTTGACAAGCTGTTAGGTCTCATGTAAGTTGTCAGAAGTAATCATAAGAGTGTGAATGTTGCTTCTTCCTTTGTGTTCTTGCGTTAGCTGGAAAGTTCAAGGCAATTTGCTAGATTTCAAGCGTACTTTGTATTCTATCGGCATTGAATATAATGTGGTTCAGTTCCTTCATTCCGGTATTTTCCGTTTCCACGCCAACCATTTTTAAGAACGTATTTGAAATAAAATAATCCCTGCACCACTCACCAATGCTTAGCAAGTGCATTTAATGTTGATACCGGTCAAATTTTATGTTTCCTTGAGTTTTTGAAGGCATTTTACTCACATTCACCCTAATTTTATAAGCGGAAATACGGCGGATCGAGGTACGGTAGAGACTCTTCCTGCACCAGAAAATTCAGTCGATTTTGGCAGTGACCTCACAGCTTGGAAATGGTCGTCACTACGCCCCGTGGGAACGCTCGATGAGATTACTGGAGCTGCAACCATTCACATGACTGCATCAGATCTTGACCGCTCAAATGACCTCTTGAGCAGCTATATCCTAGTCCCACGTGTTTAAGATTTTCTGGACTTCCACTCTTTCTGTATTTGTGTCTAAAATGGCCATTTTCCGATCAGATAAGCATAAATAAATCAATTGTATATTAAAGGCCCAATGAGCCCTTTCACTACAAACTTACTGCTGTGGTAAAACGTTGGTAAATAAATCTGCGCGTAAGCAAGGGTATAACGACAGAAATGAGTAGTATGTTATGCATATTAAGTCAGATACGATTCATCAACCTAGTCATGTGACGTGGAACTCGAGACGATGTTTTGTGCGGACAACGTCTCACGGGGCTCAGAAAGGGCTGTTTCCGACAGCTAATGATAAATGCACCCAGTAACGACTTTGCCGACGTAGACCGGGAAATGTGGAGGTTATTCAGATGTTTGCCTCTATCGCTACCAAGCAGCGAACGAAACAGCATGGGATATTTATGAGACTGCAAGTGCCGATAAGGTAGGAAAATACCTAGGTTAAGGAATTTATTAGATTTGCTCCAAAAGACCGACTACCTGCTTACAAGATGAGTACACACTCTAAAAATTCATCAAAATTAACGGCAGCTGACGTTTTTTGTGGATTATGAGGAGTACGAACAGAGGTCCAGGGCATTCAGTATACTATAACAGAAGAATACGTACGCAACCTACATCCAGCTTAATTTGTGGTAGATTCCCTGTCTCATGAAATGTCGCCCGGAATTCTGAAATGCGTTTTCGATTCAAATATATTAATTACGTATGGCTTTAAAAGTGACGATCGTCCAGCCTTATGTCAATCTATTTAGGTCACGTCAGGATGCTGGCTTTTTAATGAGCTCCTTTCTGACCGCCAAGTGAAAGTATCTACTATAAAAAGTGGCTACTTAATTAGTATGCCTTATCGCCAATGATTTTGAGTCCCTTTATAAATTTAAATATATTTTATAGAAAACATGCACGACAAATTTATTTCTTGTACTCGTTTGGTAGAAAATTATGCCTCCTTACAATTATATACTTAAAAATGGTATCTTTCGGCTTTAAAAAAATGATCTAGGCAAAAGTAGCTCATGTAGCCCCACTCATATAACCCTAGTCCCAGCACTTTGTCCTGCAAAAACGGTGGTTATAGAGTTTTGTGGGGGGGGGAAATAGGAAAGGCAGCGAATGAAATTTTTAGAAGTAAGTGCGAAGGGAATAAATGTAGTCAAAAGTGTTTCCCGCGGCCGCTGGGAGCAGGTTGTTCCCCATGTAAATTGAAGGTGTGCG